GGGCTAAAGATGTTTTCCCGGAAGCTAGTTATCATCCTAATTGCTAAAATGAATTTGCCTGAAGGCTAACATGGACAACAACCAGAAACTTGAGCTACTTCGGATTAGAGGAGACAACATGACCCTTTGTTTGTTTAAAAATGTTTAATAAGGCAAGCTGGAGTAGCTAGTGGAGTAAACTGCAGATCTATGCTAGGTTGAGATGCTACAAACGGGCTATCAAAACGGACCTAATCTTATAACAATCAAAAGAAGGACTGATGCATGTCAGAGGGTGCAGAGACTGTTTTTGTCACAACAGATGGATGCTCCCCCCTCAGTTTGGTTCTGCCAGACAACCTCTTCCTGTTAAAAGAGTGTTCTTCCTCCCCACCATCACCAAGTAAGAACTGTGAGTTTGTTTAGGGTCTTTAGCTTACAATATAAAATGCCTTGAGATATCTGTGATTGTGAACTAATACTATAAAAATAAAACCAAAATTTACATATATATATATTTATATAGTAGCAGTAAATTTGAGTTTATGTGAAACATATTGTCTTCCTCTTTGGTGTGTATGCTATGTTTAATTTGCTGTTTTTTCAGGGTTGTTCGAGAGGCTGGTGTGTGGATGTGCTGGGATGTAGAGTCCGTGACTGACCGCAAGCCGTGCGCCCTGAGTTCTCGGCTGGTCCGCAACCTCTCCAGGTCCTCCACATCTCGGAAGAGGAAAAAGACGTCCTTGCATTCAGGATGGGTCTCAAACAACCTGTTTGCCACGACAACAAGTACAAGCAGCCATCCGTGAGCCTCTCAGAGCCACTCATGTAACAGCCTGTCACATTCATTCCCACACCAAAACAAACCTCTCCCCCGGAGTTAAGAATATATAAACCCCAGAGTTTTAAGATGAACAGTCACACATTTATTATCCTGTTTTTGCCGTGCTGATTTCACCTCATCAGCGACGCAATTAGAGGATTTTCTCTCACCCTTGAGTCATTCTCTACACCAGACACTTTGAATAGAGATCTGATTGTGCCTTTTGGATCTTACTCTAGTGCTGCTTATAGTCAGCGCCTTCCGGTTTTCACAGCCAACATTTGCAATCAGAAACAGGCCACGGGGGTCATGACTTTGTTAGCCTGTCAGGCCCTACACTCATTTCCACCCGTGGCTCTGGACGAGCCGCCCTCTCAGATTCAGAGTCTCAATTAAATGAGCCACTGCTCCTTGCTTGCGTCTTCTGACTTAAACTCTCAGCCAGTTTCTCTAACCAGATATGTTTAAGCATGTTACCAACCAATCAGAGGTCCTTTCAGTCTCCAGCTGAGGTAGCTGTGATTAGTCATGCTACCAGAATACACAGCTGCCTCCCATGGATGTGAGTGCTGTTGTGCTCACACTGAGATCTAAGGCTTATGGTAATTCTGTGTTTTCATCATCGTGGAAGAAAAGGATTGTGACAGGCATCTGAAATGTTGTCAGACAATCAGGGGAGGAAAATATAAGCTTAAAAAAGGAGGGTGACTGGGAGAAGATGTTGATTTTAATTCACATAAAACTTAACGAGATAGGATAGGCATCACATTTCCACCGATATGAAACATCAGGTAATATCAGATACTCATCAAAGAAAAACTGTTTATTGTGGCTGATACCAGTGCAAACCTACAAAATGTGGGTTAAGGTAAAGTTTGATGTGCCCTGTTCTGCAGAACACACTATTCAGAGTGTTAAAGCTCTGCATTACCAGAAGTAATTATGAGCTGATTATATTATCAGAGAAACAACAATAATTCTTAATTATTAGCTAACAACACAAATAGCACTGCTTACTGTGAAAATTTGTTACCTGTAGTGCTACACAGACAACTTGGACACGTACAGTGCTGATTTCTAACTCTGGGTTAAGGATTAATGGGAAATAATAACATGTAAAATGGTGATGGGTGTGGCAGTTTTGCTGTTTTGCTTTTATTCCCTGTGGCCCTTTGAAAGAAAGCAATCCTGTATTTTTAAACCTGAGATTTAAAAAAAAAAAAAATAGGGCACATGTACAACCTTGGAAGATAAAGAGATGGCTAGAGGTGCTGGGAGAGGTGTCAGAGACTCTAATGAATGCTGCAAAAAATACCCATAGCTCTCTAGCCTTTACACAAGCTCACCAAAAATCATTTAACTGAATGCGTAGAGCTGACAAGTTAAGCAACATGTGGGTACGCCATGCGCTTTATTACCTACAGCATCACACATGAGAAACGTGCACGTAATTGTATCTTTTTCATTCAGTTCAGCTGCACAAAGTTGAAGAAACGATGCTGTGATATTTGCACAGTGTTACTGTTTTTGTGTTGTTGTTTTTTTCAGTAGCAAAGTTCATCCGCGACGAGAGAGCTGGGACACTTTCCTTCTCGCTACTCATACCGAGATGCTCGCCAGCTTCACTGATGAAATTTTAAAAAAGGGTGAAAGTGAAGCTCTTTTTTCACGACTGTCAGCACACCGGCGACACATAGACAGCTTGTTATTTTCTTCCATTGTTAATCTCTTGTGGACATGGAGTGTGCATGCAAGCATGCATAACATATGCAGACAACGTAGCACTCTGAATGGCTCAAGTGGAATTTTAATTGGCATTGCACAGACGTTGCATTCATTTCTGTGTTGTTCACAGATATGCTACTCCACCTTTGATGCACCTTACTTTGGGTAAATTTCACAGATAAAAATTCCCTTGCTGAGGAGTAAAGTGAAAACACCAGTGAAAAACAGGCAATTCCCATTTGTTGTTTCATTGTAACCATTGCTGTTCAATCAGGAGTTGCAGGCCATGGTGACATTTGTACCCTGGGGTGTCCCTGACCCACGAGAGGCCCATGTATTTTCAGGCCAACACCTAAGGTCAATCCCTTTAACTCACTCCAGGCATCTTTCATTGGGCTTCTGGCCACAAATAGTCTCTCTTCACTCTAAAGACTGTCAGTCTACATCACCATATCCTCTCATTTGTCTCATTTCGCTGCCAAGTGCCAAAGGGCTAAAGATGTTTTCCCGGAAGCTAGTTATCATCCTAATTGCTAAAATGAATTTGCCTGATGGCTAATGCCTTTAATTGTATAGTACTATGGGAGACCCGGAGTTCTGATATTGTTATTGTTACTACACGTGATGACATTAGGATGTGATTTGGAGTGATATGAAGGGAGAGGTGCGCGGGTGTGTGTGTGTGTGTGTGTGTGTGTTGGACGGGGATCTGTTCCAAGCTTCCGGGGGACGCGGAGAGGTGGGAGGGAGTGATGGAGATAGAATTCAGGCATGTCATCATCACAGTAGCTCACCAAGATACTTTACAGACCCCTTCCTCTGCAGGTCACAGCGTTTCATTTCATTTGAATTAATAGACATTATTTTTACTTCTTTTTTTCCTTCTTCTGCGTAACAAGCAACAACAAAGCGATGCAACCCATTAATACAGTACAATACAGTATCTTAAAGGACTCAGTGTGACTTCATAAAACTAAAGAATTTATTATAACACCACCTCCTACAACACCCCCCATCCTTACATGCCGCTTCACTAAATTAGTATTTTATTCGATTCTGAATTGCCTGAAATTCGCCAAACATCAGAAAAGTCCTACCTGACGAACATAATAATCCCAACTTTGGCTATATCGTCCCGGATAACTTTCCACGAGTCTTTAATCATCTGAATCTGGTCCTCGCTGGGATACGCGGCAGCAGCAGCAGCATCCTCTGAAGTCTTCTCTGCAAACTCTGATTTTGCTGCGAGACCTGATATTGCGCAGCCCATTCTTCACATGAAAGACGGAAAGAAGATTTTTTTATTTATTCTATTTTGGGGCAATGCCAATCCAGGAAGATTTTTTTTTTTAAAAAAAGGAAAAACGACAGTTAGATACTTCGGTGCCAGAGGAAATGTGCTGGTGGTGACATCTGGTTTCAGTGCGCGTCTGGAACTCCGCTCCTCCGCGTCAAGTCAGTGACCAGGATGCGAGCTGTGGTTGGCTCAAAATAAATAAATAAATAAACCCTCGGTGATGCACAAATATGACAAAGGTTTGGTGCCTTTATGGAGAGGTTTTCTCTTGTGTATTTCCGGTGTAACTCGGTGTGTTCATGTCCGACTTGATGGAACTTTTTTTTTAAGCGAGGGGGCGCTCGGGATGACCCTTGCGGTCATTTAAAAATAATAAAAAAAATTGCCAACACAAATGAACAGACTCATGAGACCACATTAACAATTATAGTTGCTACTGGCAGCTCCACCCGGATCTTATTCTAAAACATAGTTACAGTAACTATTACTGCCTCGTTGTTTGGGTGTCACACCGAGCGCAGTGCTCTACATGGAAAAGTAACAGGAAATGAGCCATTTGCTTTTCTAACTGAGGCCCTTTGCATACTCTCCTTACAGGAGTGGACCTCCCATTTGATGATGATAAATTATTTAGAGATATTTAAAAGCAGTTCTCATATATTGAGGACAAAACTTTGTCGTAGAGCTCCTCCTTTATGGCATTGGTATCATCTTTTGCTTAGAACTGTTGCTCTCTTTGTTTTTGAAATAGAGCATTTCCTTACACCACACAACAACAAATCCTCTCAACTCGCCTTTAAATGAATTTTATTTGATGTAAATAGAAGGCTGTCTTTGAAGCCATATCAGCCACGGTATGAATGGATCTGCAGTAACGCACATTTACTAATAACTGACAAAGACATTTCTGTTTTTATTCAAAATATGGGAAACTGAGTATGAAACAGTGCATTTTCTGAAATGGAAAAGTAAAAAGAGGTTGCTCTAAGCTGAGTATTTACAAGAGGCCAATATTTCCCAAATATACAGTTTTATAAATAATGTTTAAGAAAATATACAACTTGCTGAGAATGCTAAAGCTCCAGTGATGTTTCACACGTTTTAGAAGCTGCTACAGTAAATGACAAAGCAAACGACTGCTAGGATCAGTTGCTAAAAACAAAATGAACAAAAAATGGCAACAATCTTTGGTATTTGGACACAGGCTGTGCTAATAGCAGAGCTGACATCAGTCAGAGCTTCCCTGACAGTTACACAGAAATATTGCTATACTGACTGTAGCAAGAATCACTAACATTGGGAACCAAAAACATGGATATAATAAAGCACAACCAGTTTTCCCATTTCATACAGGAGATTCATACATATTTCTACATAGACTTTGTACAGACATTTACCCAGTGTGTAAATATTGTAATTCATATTTTATAAGAAGACAATAGCCATTAATGTCTCTGGTGTCACACTGTGCTGCGATCATGTCAGGGTGTCTCCTATAGTAAAACACTGCACAGTCACAAAGTTGCATTCTTTTAAGAGAATTAACATGAAATATGGGTGTTGGGACAAGAATGAGATATTTGCCAGATAATGTTTCAAAATTCTAATAAAAATATACATAATTCACATGTTCATGAACTTGTGCTCAAGTTCTGGAACTTCTCTCGTAAGCTTCTCACAAGTTTGCTCTCTGAGGTCTTCCCTGAACTCAGGAGATCAGACTTTGCTGCACTGTCTGCGCCCTCTGGACAGAGGTTATCTCTTTCTTGTGCTTGGCTGACCTTAAGGCAGGTCCTGGCAGGTTCCTGAAGGTTCTGTACTTCATGAAGGGGTAAAGACACGGGCATATGGTCCAAAGATTTCCACCTGCACAGCAGGGGATAGAGTCGAGAGCGTTTCTGGTGTGGGGGCCAGTCTTCTACTACGGAGCCGTCTCTGCGTGTGGTTTCAGATTGCTTTCGAAGTGTGTCAGGGTCTGTCACAGACCTACAAAGATCTGAGGAGCTACTGTATTTATGTTCACAGCCATTACACCTGTCCATCCCACTCAGGACTGTGCAGCTATGGGTTATTTTTGAGGAGTGGGATGCATCCGAGTATTTGGAGCGCAGCTCCTGAACATCAGGCCAATGGAAGGTCTCCATCTCCGGGCTCTGCGGGCAGGTAATTGTGCTCTGGGAGCTGGCTCCAGAGCTGGGAGTCAGGACTGGACTTGGAGAATGGAGTTCAGGGATAACTGCTTGACTGCAAGCATTCGTAGGCAATCTTAGGCTTGGTTTACCTGCATACACACAGAAAACAGACAAAGAATGGATTTCAGGTCTTTTTGCACACAAGTCAAAGTTCTAGGGTACTTTAAAAGAAAAAGAGCAATGATTTGAATCCTATTTACCCCTTTTTCTAAGCTGCAGCTTCTCCTCGTGGACAACAGGCGTGTCCCTGAAGGCTTCCTGGTTTGCAGTTTCTCGGCTCCTTTGCCAGATAACGGGTTTGTTATTTTTAATGCGCTGGCTGTACTGACGAGCCAACTGGAACACCTTGTTCTTCATCTTTCCCATGTCTTGAAGGATCTGGTCCTCATCCATGCTTGTTCGGAAGCTAATGATCTTAGGTAGTTGACCTTGGTTGTCTTTACCGATCTCTTGAAACACCGGGGTCTCGGAGCCCTGACCAGATCCTCCTTCCACTGCTTGGCAAGTTGGGATAGGTGACAACGTGGAGAGGGTATTGGAAGCGGTGCTCATTTCAGACTCGTCTAGAACCTGAGGTGGTTGCTTATCGGTTTTAGCATCTGAAGTATCAGAGCTGTGGTGTGCCACTTCTAATAATGACTCACTAAGTTTCTCCTGTGCATCCTGCTGGGCTTCCTGGCTCTGTGCCTCATTTTCCATGTCTTGCCAAACCTTGAGCATTTCTGATGAAGGCCTGAATTCCTCTTCTGTGCCTGAATTGTCTGAAATGCTGTTACAACTAGCCTGGGCCTCGACTGATCTCTGTGGTAGATAATTTCCAGTGTTTTGACTCGTTTGTAATCCAGGAAGGTCAAACACAGACCAAGATGTAGGCCTGTTCTGAGAGAGACCTTTCCTAAGAGCTGGGACGGCCCTCTCCTGAGGAGCAGGATTATCATTAAGCTGTTGGCTCAAGTTCCTGACCAGACCTGCTGGAATATAAGACAGACTCTCCCTGCGCCTGATGCTGAAGTTAGCATCTTGGTGCTCAGCGTGCTCGTAGTACTGTCGAATTTTGTGGATGAGGAGGCGATCTTGTTTGGAGAGCGTAGACCTGCGTTCCCCTTCATTCAGCCCAAGTTCACGCACAGGAACTGACTGATTAGCCTCTGAGCTAGTTTTCAGCTCTGCTGAGGAGCTGAGCAGCATTTGGGTCTGTTTCTCAAAATCCATGCAAGCTGAAGGGCTGTGGACGGCATCATCATCCACGGACTCTGAGGGGCAGACAAGTGAACCCATGTCCTCTGACATTACACTGCTCCGTCTAGATAGGCTGCCCCTGAAGTGTCCAGCTATCACACTCGCCTGGTCTAGCACAGAGGAAGGTAGGATGCTTTTATTATCCGAGATTACCTCCTCTTCCTCTTCTGAGAGCTCTCCATTTGTCAGTACACTCGCCTCCTCCACTTGAAGACCAAAGGAATCACTCTCTCCTTCTTCCTCTCCAGTTTCCCTTGAGCTATCCTGAGGTCCTGAGGTCTCAGTTTCTTGTTCTGAGGGGGTCACAGGAGACTCAGGGCACTGGAAGTGATCCTCTTCCAGCTGATTGCTCTCATTTGCTTGAGGAAGACAGTCTAGATTGCACGGCTCCTGCATACTGACCTGAAACATGACACAAGTTTTGTTTTACAGTAAAATGACACTTTCTAATAACAAACAATCTAAGCTTAATGGTGCTATTTACAGTAATCTTAATAGTTGAATGCATAAACAACTTATGATCCATGTACAGCGCTGTGCAAAAGGTCTCTCTTTATATTTTGCTAGGGAAATGGAAAACGGGTGCAGCAGTTTATTGAAACGTGCAAATATACATGGAAATATAGTAAATGGCAAAAATGTCACATCTTTCTTATCATTTTTCCAGTTTTAAGTGGTTAAACAACGGAGAAAAAAATCCAATAGACTCCTTTGAAAATGGTCATGTACAAAGAATCGACTGAAAATAAATGAAAAAGCAGCCAATGTCCAAAGAAAGACTTTGAAAAACCTTCAGAAAGCCTTTAAAAACAATTAGAAGAATGTCTGGCTCCTTGGAAGCAAAATATAAATCAATCAGGGCGACTCAAGACTTTTGCACTGTACTGTAAATGATCTCATTAGGCTCAGCTGAGATGTATCACAGGAATCCATGTCTGTACAAAAATCCAAGTGTAGTTAAAAACTGCAAAGGCACTGTGAAGCCATTTGCAGCTGTCTGTAATGACTCTTTACTGGATCCTTTTTGTTACCCCTGGCGAGTTCACTATTACATTGTTTGCGGCTGTACTCGTGTTCATATTGCTGATGTCACCCCAGCCTGGCATTAATCTGAATTTATTTCCAGGTGCTGCCTGCTCTTTTGGAGTGTCTGCAATTGCAAGAAGTGCAGCTTGGAGCTGTGTGGTGCAGATAAGGTTAGGAAGAATAATAACCTGCACTCTGCTTGGCTGAAGAAACCTTTTCCCCCCCGCAAAGTTACCAATTATGAGAATCAGGCTTGAACTGTAACCGGCATCTAAATCCAATGTTGCCTTTCTCAGTGAGAGTGCCTAGCATAGCACAACAGTACGTGTGAGGAATTTTAACTACCAGGGCTACATATGGCATTAATATGACTCCAGGCATAATTTACATGTAGCATAGAGACTATGTTGATGGCAGAGGGCAGCTATTAAATAGGAAACCAGGTTATTTGTGTAATGTATTATTAAATACGCTCGCTCTCATTCACAGAGCTATAACAATAACAGATAATAGACCGAGAGCCTCATTCAAAATATACAATGGCTAAAATAAGCTTAGCAAAATGAGGACAGATGGATACTTTTTAATAGACCTAATACACATCATCTGTGGCCTCAGAGACATGTATGGAAATCGGGTTTAATAGATGTGTATAAACCGTA